CTTGTAATCTCATTAGTTGACCATAGCTTTGTCCCACCTCATGCCCACCTAAGTGAGTTCCCATGTCTTCAACACCTTATACCTGCCTCACCACATGGTTTTCCTCTATAAAAAGTCCCTGCAAGAGACAACTTCCCGGGGGGAGCTACCCACTTGGGCCCCCCCTCCTGTCCCTCTCTCGGGACGGAGCTTTCTTTCTCTCAATAAATATATTCTGCTCATTTAAAAAAAAAAAAAAAAAAAAAGAATACACCAATCGCACCCAGCTTTGCTGTGGTTTTAACATGCACTGTTCTGATAACAGAATTAGATTTTTGTGACTTTGGTAATATGCAGAAATTTTTAGAACTGAAAAAACACATAAAAGATATAACTGGTTCTATATAATTTATCAAAGTTAGATTTCTCCAAAGCTATGACTTTCTCTTACTTCACTGCGAATAAAAGTTTGTGCTAATATTGTGTAGACAAGATAATCACGTGTGCATCTTGCTCTCTGAATAACTACTATGAACACAGTAATATACAATGTGTTAATTAGAAATGGCCTACTAACCTGTTTTGAAACTGTTTCATTGCTATTTTCTTTTTTCTCATTAAAATAAATACACATTATTGAAAAAAACTACCATTAGGAAGTAGATCAGGAAAACATTCTTGATATATGTATTGGACAAAGGGCTGGTTCTAAAATCAGTAAGTTCAGATCTCAAAAGACAGCTAAATTTAAAAGTGAGGGAAGTTTGGAACATACATAGCTAAAGATAGGTGAATGTTCAACAAACATAAAGATTCTGTTATCAGAACAGTGCATGTTAAAACCACAGCAACGCTGGGTGCGATTGGTGTATTCTTATAATCTCAGCACCTGGGGCTTGAGGCAGGAGGATCGCCATGAGTTCCAGGCCAGCCTGGACCGCATAAAGTTCAAGGCCAGCCTGAACCTAGCTCAGAAAATCCAACAAGACAACCAACCAAACACAAAAAACACCAAGATTGATTGATTGATTGATGGATTGATTATAAATGTATTTGTTTCAGGGTCTCACTGTGCAGCTCGGACTTGTTTAGGGAAACAAGAAGAGAGAAGTTGTTAGCTAGTCAAAGGCACGTTTGAGATTTTGCCTTTTTTTTTTTTTGAGACAGGGTCTTACCATGTAGTCAGACTGGCCTTGATCTTGCAGCAGCCTGTCTCAGCCTCTCGTGTGCTGGAATTGCAGATATGTGTCACCAGGCCCAGCTGTTTGCAAAATGTTAAGATCTGTACTTACTAGCAAAAATTCACAGACTCAGAATCATCCCCTTGGTTGAGAAATAACATTTCAGCAATTCCTTTTATGTACTGGAAATAAAGTACAAATTGATATACTGTAGTCTTTTTTTCCAATACTAGAGATTGAATATAGGGCCTCACACACATTAGGCAAGTACTCTACTGCACAGCCACACCTCCAGTTCTTTTCTGAAGTTTTATTTTGAGATAGGGTCTCACTGAGTTTCTTACACTGGCCTCCCAGAGATCCCTCTGCCTCAGTCTCCTAAGTACCTGGGATACCAGGTATATGCTGCCACAGTCACCTTTAAATAATTCTTGAACTAATTCTTTTTTTTTTTTTTTTGTGGAACTGGGGATTGAACTCAGGACCTTGGGCTTGCCAGGCAAGTGCTTATTCTACTGAGCTATCTTCCCAGCCCCTCCTGGTCTCACTTCACTGTTAAAGTTGACCTTGAACTCAGTTACGTAGACCAGGCTGGGCCAGATTTGAACTTATAATAATCCTTCTGAATGCTGAGATTATGGAGTTGTGTTACCACAACTGATGTTACAAACATCATGCTTAAAGTAGTACATAGGAATGGTAAGGTTTACATTTTGAAAAATTGCTTTATTCCAAAAGTAAAGGAAATTGGAATTTGGTAAATATAAAGTGTTCATTATAGATTATAAAGTAGAAAACCACTTTAAGTAGCACTTAGTTAAGACTAGTAAGGAAAAGGAAAACACAACACCTCCCAGTGTAATATTAATATTTAAAACAAAACCTTGTTTTTATAGAATTGGTTAAGAAGAAAGCTCACTTCAAATTGATTTAATGACTGAGTCCTTTGGCCCAGGGTGGAGGTAAGCGGACTTCAGGGCAGTGTTTAATCAGTGAGTTCCAAGTTGCAGTTCAGGCGAGAGTTCTTGTCTTGTGTTGTGCAGTCCATGACTAGAGATGGAGTAGCGTCCTGCACATTTCAAAAGAAGGATTTGTAGAGGTTTGCACCATAAAATGTGTATTAAACCAAACACTATACACGTATAAAACATTGTGTGACATACTGTTAACATGCATAATTTTAAGTGTATATCTCTTTAATTGTTGTTAGTAATACATCTTTGCAGTACATAATTACCTTCATTGTGAGGTGTATCAGTTAAAAACTAAATTTTACTTTAAAAAAGAACAGCACTGACATGACATTCATGATAGTGTGAATTGAACCTTCTTATACTCTAGTAAGATTGTACAGAAGGGATAAGTGTAAGGTGTTCTTTTTGAGCTAATACAGCTTCACAGTACTTACCCAGTTCATGGTCAGAAAGACTGTCAGTTCCTGGTTTTAGACGTTGGGTGAAATAGTGTTTTTCCCTGCTTCAAATAAGCATTCCTGGTTCTGATAGGGTAGGAGTTGAGACAGGGTCTCATTTTTTGGCAGGCTGACCTTCAACTCAGCTTAATCCAGTCTCCCAGTGCTGGGATTGCAAGTGTGTGCCCCCACACTGGGCCTCGTTCTGAATTTTAATTATGTGAGAATGCAAATTTTTTCTTCTTTTTACTCTTCCTTGAATGTATGTTTAAATCTTAATGTATTATTCCCTGTGTGGTGTAAGGAGACTTCCCTAGACTCTAGACTCTGGGCTCAGGGTCCAGTAATCATCCTGCCCAGAACTGTGACCCTGAGCATGTGTACATGTCCCCTTCACTACAGGTCTGTATCTGCATGAGTACCAAGGCCACGGTTGCTCCTGCTGATCCGGTGTGGGAATCCTGACTTTGGAGAAAGCAAAAGGAAGGAACTCAGTGTTCATGATTCCATAATGTGGCTGTTACTGATTCATAGTTTGCAGAGTTTATATTTTTTTAGTGTTTACTTTTTATTTTTTTATTTTAGGGAAGGGTCTACAGGGTCTCACTGCTAGATTGGACTCTAGTAATCTGCCTGTTTACAGCCCAAGAGCTGGGATTATAGGCACGTGCCACCACACCTGTCTCACTTGCCATCTCAGCACGCCCTGGGGGTGGGATCAAACCCCTGGCCCCTGTGCCTGCGTGCTGGCACTTTAATCTGCTGAGCTATTTGGCTGGCCCTTGCAGAGCTTATATTTAGGAGGATTCTTTCAAAAGTTTATAAATAAGTCATTTATAGTTCATCATTTAGGGCAGAAATGTTAGCCTCTCTTTGGATAATGAAAGTCAGCCATCTTTGGGCTTTTCAAGGGTGGCTTTTTTCTTTCACGGGATGTTGTACCACAATCTTTTAAAAATTTTTGTATGTTCTCACATTGCTTCCACTTGGCTCTACTGCTTTGCTTTTCGGTAATCTACTTTGCGCATGCTCCTTCCCTGAAAGTGCGTGGCCTGCCCACCAAGTAGCCATCTGCTGCCTGGGGAAGTGGGTGCGGTCCTTCTCTCCCCGCCTCCCTGCCTGCTGCCCCTGGACCAGGCTCCAGGGGAGCTGGCTTTCTGTCTCTGTCTCTCGTTCTGTTAGTGCCTTTACCTTGGTTGACCTCTCCTTTTCTGTGGGTGACATAAATGTGGCTATTTCTGTGACTTCTCTGCTGACCTGCAGGGCTCATCGTGGTGCTGTTGCCCCTCTGTGTCCTTGCTGAGAGCTGTTATCTGTATCTGTTCCCGGTTCTAAGATGCCGCCTTGGATTCAGACCTGCAGGTCTACCACAGCAGTTTTCCTGCCTCGGCCTCCCGGTGCTGGGCTTACAGCATGCACTGCCACATCTGGCTGAGGCTTCCTCTTTCTGTCCCTGCGTGGTAGCATTGTTGTCTCAGAACTATCTCGTGTAAGGGTGCATCGTAGATGACTGAGGTCACCCTCAGAGCCTCCAGTTTGGTGGAAGGAAACGCACGAGAAGTACGTTTGCTCTTTGTCTCAACTCCAGACCCTTGACCGACATACTTTCTCTTGGGGACACTGAAGGTGGGGTTGTCTAACAGTATGAGACACAGGAGGAAGCACAGCTTAACCTGCCCAGCTTTGTGTACATGCAATTGTAAGTTCACTGGCTAAGTAAAGTGATGATTTAACATTTTTGATGAGTGAGAGCCGTGTAATTACAATCTTGCAGTTGAATATTATGGTAATACTATGATGGCTGTCTATGAGAACAAGGATTCAGCTGAAGAAACATAAAAGTGATGGTATTTCCTCTTGGACTTAGAGACATGATAATTAAATATTGTAATTATTCAATTTTTAAAAGATCTTAGTGAAAGTGTACTTTTTTTAAAAATAGTTTTTTCTTGCTTTTTTTTTTTTTTTGGTTTGCTTGTTTTGGTGGTACCAGGGATCAAACTCAGGACCTTGTGCTTGCCAGGTAAGCACTTATTCCACTAAACTAACTCCCCGGCCTGAAAGTATACTTTTGTATTTATAAAATAGTTGGCTTCATGAGGGTAACATTTCATTGTTATATCCCTAGGTTTGACACTTAAGAGCAGTCAGGCATTGTATCAGTTTGTTTTCAGTGTATTCTTTTGGGCTAGAACGTTCATTTTCATTACAGATTTAGGAAGTAAATGTGTTTTAGGATAAATACACTTATTTTTTTCCACGTTCTATTTTTTTCCTAGGCTACTTGCTGAAGGCTTTATGTCAAGACAACAGTTTTACACCTTTGTGCTGAATTAGAAAGGCTTGTGGAGAACCAGGGACAAAGAAAGGAAGCAACCTACTTCTTTGACTATATAAGTTTGACTTCCAAGACGGTGATAAACAATTGTTCCTTGGATTGGGCATTCCTCGTGTTGAGGACCGTAGCTCGTGAAGCTTCCAGAAGTGAGCTTGGACCCATCACTGGTGCTCATTTATATCTTGAACTGAAAGCATGAGTGAATTCTGGCTGTGTTTCAACTGCTGCATTGCGGAGCAGCCTCAGCCTGTAAGTATGAAGTAGTGCTGGTGGATGGGGAGTGGATGCTTGCTACCCATGCCACTGCTTCCCATAGACAGGGGCCACTTGGCAGTGATCCAGGGCAGTCCTGAGTGTCCCAGGAAAAGCTCAGTGTGTTCTGAGAAAGTACTGTGTGTGAAGACCCATGAGGCCATTGTGTGTGGCTGGGTAGATGTGTCGGCCTCCCACTTGCCTGGAGGCACGAGGCAAGAAGGACGGGGACCTGAGCAAAGTGGACGAGCCAGCCTCAGCAGTTGGCGAGGAGGAGGTGGTGGCCGCATTCCCTCCTTCCTCTGAGCTTGCTCTCTCGTTTTCCTCCCAGCAGCTCTCTGAGAAGATGCTGTTGCTCTCTTTAATTTTCAGTGGAAACAGGCTCCGGGGCCTTGCCCACAGCTGGAGCTGGCAAGCGGTCCAGGCTGCTGCTCTGCGCTGCCTGCTTGTGTGCTTTTACCATGTTGTTGTTACCTCTGCCCAGGCCTCTGTGCTGGCTCCCGATGGACATCTCTGAAGACACCTGCCTTGGGAGTGGGTTAAGCCTGCGGGCTAGCTGGCTGGACAGTGCACTTGTATTTTATTTGGTTTTGTAACAGTGCTAAAAAGAAAAGTATTAAATTAGGATTATAATTACATACACTTGCCTTTTTTTTTTTTTTTTTTTGGAAAGGGTCTACAGGGTATTCAGGGTCTCACTACTGGATTGGACTCGTAGTGATTCTCCTGTTTACAGCCTCCCAAGAGCTGGGATTACAGGTGCCGCCAGCACACCCAGTCTTAATTGCTGTCACAGCATGCCCTGGGGGTGGGGCTGGCACCGCAGGCCTGAAGATAGAACCCCTGGCCCCTGCGCCTGCTTGTAGGCGCTTTAATCTGCTGAGCTATTTGGCCAGCCCTACGCTTGCTTTTTTCACCTCAGTCCATGCTGGCCTTGAATTCACTGTGTAACTATTGTACACTGTGAACTTGTTTCTGAAATCTGTTCCTTTGGCATTCATACATGTTTATGTGGAGGCCACCACCCCGTGCTGGTTCTTGCGTGTGGTGCTGGGGCTGAGCTGGGCCTCCCTCCCGGCTGTTTTGTGTCCCATGGGGGTCTTTCGTGGCTCTTCTTTTTCTAAGTGTGTTGGTAAAGTTCTGACACTTAATGTTGGCTGGCACTCTCTCTGTCTCTCCCCTTCCCTTCCCCCCCCCCCCACCCCAGTCCAGGCTGGCCTTGAACCCACTGCAGTCGTCCTGCCTCAGCCTCCCCAGTGCTGGATTACAGGTGTGTGTCACCCTCACCTGGCCAATGTCTTATATTTTTAAAGATGGATTGGTCACATGTTTACTGTGTTCTTTATATTTTTCTTCATATGAGATATTGTGTAATACAATAAATCCTGTAGGTGCTTTAAGATTGCCTTGAGTTTAAAGAGTATTTGGATGACAATATCTTTAATATTTTAAGTAATGGAATTGCGATGCCTGGCTTATATCTTTTATTATCTTAAATCCTATTTTTGTATTATACTTCTGATTGGCCTACTAATGTGAACACAGAATACTGCAGCAGCTGCCTAGATGCGTGTGGTGAGTGAGGGGCAGAAGTGGCCTGGCAGCCCCGGAGGCTGACCTGCGTGGGGGGCTCTGCCTCCCCCAGCCCTGCTCCCCGACAGCGACAATGCTGCCCACTCTGCATTCCTGCACCTCAGGCTTCTCCTTCAGGTTGGATGTAGCGGAAGACCCTGAAGCCGGGAGCCAGCTAAACCTTTTCTCAAAGTTGTTAATTTTTTATACAGACAGATTACTGAAACATTTAAATTAGCTAACTGGTGATTTTAACTGTTCTTACAAATATCTTCATGTAGTGACTCTTTCAGTGACTTGCTGATATTTAAGCCTTTGTCTTTTGCAATCTTAATTTCATTAGTCAAGACCTCCACTAGAATAGGGGGTGGTCATAAGTATCAGTTACTGTGTATTGTTTATAATATATGGTATTATCAAAGATTAGTAGTAACACTTTAAAAAATGTTTGTGAAACACTTGAATACTTTTGCCATATTTTTTGTTTGCCTTGTAATTTTTTTTGTTAAAAAATCAGGCTCCTAGAATTCAAGGACCCAGTCAAAAAATGGGCATCTAAGATGAACACATACTTCTCAGATGAAGAAATACAAGTGGCACGTGAAAAAATGTTCAACATCATTGGTTATTCAAGAAATGCAAGTTAAAAGCAAGACAAATAGTCCTTTAGTGTGAGGTTTTATGTTTCTTTGGCTGAGATTTAGGCCATTTTATTATTTGCTGTAGGTGTTGGAGAGTGAAATTCCTCTGCTGTCCCTGTTTGTTATTATTTTTCTTTGCATACTTGGGATAGAACCCAGGGCCTGGCACATGCTGGACAAACGCCCCACCACTGTGCTGCACCCTGCCCTTCTTGTTTATTTTGAGGCAGAGCCTCACTAAATTCTGTTTTCAGTCTTCCTGCTGAAGCCTCTTGATTTAAGGTGTGTACCATGTGCCTGACTTGGTATTCTTGTTCCTTACGTCTCCTGCCTTTGGCTTTCCCTTGAGATCTTGAGTAAGGCCTGGGGGTTTGTGTTTGTCTCAGTGACAGTCCTGTTTCACAGGGGCCCTGTGCGCTCAGGTGTGGGAGGAGGAAGCGTTATACAGTGTGTGGTTAGGTCTCTGTCTCTCAGTGAGTTTGTGCTCCTGGTCTGTTCTGTGTCCTGTACATGTGCCTCACAATTTTGTTGATTTTTTTTTTTTTTTTTTTTAAATCTCCTGAGATGAGACATAAAAGGAGACTGGAGTTGGATATTACCCATCCAAAAGGTAGTTAGCTTCTGGTAAAACTCCTTTGGGTAAGCTGTGGAAGGAGTTGCTCTTGAGGGCAGGCCTTTGTTAAGAACAGACTGCTCTGGGTTTTTTCAACATGGCTATCCTTCCCTCTTTGCTGAAACATGTGTTTTCTTCTGTCTTCACTGTGAGAATGTGGTTGGGTTCCTAATGGTAAAACCCACAGGTTTGGGGGGAACCTCTGCAGAGACTGCCCCCACCCCACAGTATTTAACTCTCAGAGTTGGCCCTGTTGGGTTGCCAGCAGTCCATCACTTAGAGTTTAGGCTTTCCTATACAAGTACTGGATACTGGGGAGGTTTCTGCTCTGGTAGGTCGTGAGTCTCCCTGTTGTCTTCCCAAAACAGCATTAGTTTTCTGAGACTTTTGTTCTCTGATGCTTGGAGGGAGCGTTGTTCACAGTGGTGACTTCTCAGTTCTTTATTTTTTATTTTTATTTTTTATTAATTTTATTTGTGTGTGTGTGTGTGTGTGTGTGTGTGTGTGGCCAGCTCAGCCCACCAGGGGGCGGGGCTGGCTGGCATGTGGTGCTGGGGGATTGAACCGC